AAAAGTACTCTTCTTGGCTAGTGTAGGCTGCTCTCCCTCTCATTTTTTACGCATACATTCGAAGACATTATTAGGGAATTGTCGGCACGACAATCTCCGGTTGGTTCTCCGTTGTGTTTGTTTTCTGTGCTCTGCTCTTTTTGTTGTTGTTGTTGTTTTTGCCGTTGATAACGAAGAAACACACCAACGACAAGAAAATTAAAACAAAAACAATTTCTACTTCTTCATTTTACCCAACTGAGTTCAGTACATTTGTGCACTTATGAGAGTCAACATGTTGTTTTGAATTAAATCCAACAACCAAACCAAAATTTAAAAAAAAACTCAACTCAACTAAAACCAAAAAAGCCTACACTCCAGAGAATTACAATAATACCACAAATTTTCAAAACACAAAAATTAAATTAAACAGCAACAAAATCTATACAAAAAAAAATTATTTAAAAAAATAATAAATATTTTATGGAAAAATTTTTTTAAATAAAATTCCAAAAAACCCGCAGTGCAATTTATTGCAAAAAAAGATCTACAAAAAATCGTAAAAAAAGTAATTAAACAACAACAATAAAAACAAGTGCAAAATTTCAAGGAATTTTTTTCAAATAATGAATATATCTAACTACCAGACCTAACCAAAATCGGGGTCAAAACATATAACAGAAAAAAAATCATGTGGAGGAATGACAAATGAACGAACGGGCGCGAGTCTCTATGTGTGTGTGTGGTGGTTTTCATAGATATTTAATTTTTTTTTGAAGGCAAATAGAAGAAAAAAAAACGAAGAAAATATTGAAGAAGAATACCAACAAGAATACACAAAAAAAAATAATAATAGACCGCAAAATGTCGAAATAAAACCAAATTCTAATAAAAAATTGTTTTGAATTAGAAAGAAGAAGCAACAAAAAAACAAAACGCACAAAAATGCAGTATTATTAAAAAAAAAAACAAACAAATTTTGGGAATGCAAAAAAATGAACAAAAATAAATTATAGAAAAAATAAATGAAATAAAATGAATTAAAAATTTTAATAAAAAACAAGCAAATTAATTTTGGAAAAATATAGAAAAAAAAAAATAAAAAAAAAACTAAAAAAAATTAAATTCAAAAACAGAATCTTTATGGGCAAAAGAAAAAAGTTAAAAAGAAATATGCCGACAACATGTGACATAAATATATAATAAAAAAAATTTTGAAAAAAGAACAACAAAAAATATATTTGATAAAGATGTGTACCCAAATTAAATTTTGGAATTTATAAGATTTGTGTGCTATATTAAATTTTAGAATTTATAAGGATTAATTGTGTGCTAAATTAAATTTTGTAATTTATAAAAATTTTTTCGAAAATTTTTGAAATTTATCTCTTAAAAAATATTTTTTTTCACTAAAAAATATGGCTATAACATCCTAAAATTGTTGGAATTATATGTCATTTGATACCTTTGTGCTCTTAAATACAATTTTGGAAATTTTTCTTTGAAATTCTCAAGTTGAGATTCCGCCCGATTTATTAGGAATGAAGAATTATATGGTAAAAACCCTGCAATATGGGTATCAAAGTTTAGGATTTGAAGTGAACATACCATAAAAAATATAAACTCGAAGTTTTGACTCACCCCGGTGCTTAAATTTTGAAAAATTATTATTAAAGGGAGTTATTTTCTTTAAAAAGTAATTTTTATTTGGTAAACATTCATAAAAAATTACGAAACATGATTTTTTTTATCATGTATTTTGTTAAAAATTACGATTTTACTAATTTTTCTTCAAAAATCCAAAGATGAGATTTCAGCCGATTTATTATGAATGAAGAATTATATGGTAAAAACCCTGCAATATGGGTATCAAAGTTTAGGATTTGAAGTGAACATACCATAAAAAATATAAACTCGAAGTTTTTACACACCCTTGCCCTTATATTTCAAAAAATTATTACCAAATGAAGTTAATTTCCTTCAAAAGTCGTTTTTATTTGGTAAACATTCATAAAAAATGCCGAAATATGGTTTATTGATCTTGTAATTTGTTGTTAAATACGATTTTACTAATTTTTCTTCAAAAATCCAAAGTTGAGATTTCGCCCGATTTATTACGAATGAAGAATTATATGTTGAAACCCCTAGAATATGGGTATCAAAATTAAGGTTTTGAAGTGAGCATATCATAAAAAATATAAACCTAATGTTTTCACTCACCCCGTAACTTATATTTCTAAAAATTATTACCAAAGAAAGTTAATTTATTTAAAAGGCCGATTTTATTTCGTAAATCTTAATAACAATTTTAGAAATGTGATTTTTTTGTCTTATATTTTGTTAATAAATACGATTTTACAAATTTTTTTCAAAAATCCAAAGTTGAGAATTCACCCGATTTATTAGGAATGAAGAATTATATAGTAAAACCCCTACAATATGGGTATCACAGATTAAGATTTTGACAGGGCATTCCAAAAACCCTATAAACCATTCCTTAAACCCCAACAGATTGCTTATATCCTACCTAATGCCTCCTAAATGAAGTTTATTTCCTTTTAAAGGCCGATAAGCGAAGTAAACTCGATTTTAATGTCACCAAAAAGTTGCTATTTATCATCTATTTCAATTTTAAATAATTTTCTGTTGATTTTTCTTCATTATTCCAAAGTTGAGATTTCACCCGATTTATTAAGAATGAAGATTATATAGTTAAACCCTAGCAATATGGGTATCCACGATTAGGGTTTGATGAGAACATACTGAAAATAATATAATCCTTAAGAAAAAATGACATCGATGAAATATATACCAGCAAATAGTTACCGTGTAAATGTAATTGAATAAATGATAAATTTTTCTTGGATATTGTCCATAAAAACTTTCGAAATATATGCCATTGATTTCCTATTTTGCTGTAGATTGCAAAATTGTCATATTTTCTTCGTTTTTCCAAAGTTGAGATTTCGCCCGATTTATTAGGAATGAAGCATTATATAGTTAAACCATAGCAATATGGGTATCATAGTTCAGGGTTTTGAGAGGACATTCTAGAAAAAATATAAACCAACACAAATATCCAACCTGTTTGAATATGTATAAACATATAATTATCAGATGAATGGAATTGAATAAATTTTATCACTTTTTCCTTAGTAATTTGTCATAAAAACTTTCGAAATATATGCCATTGATCTCCTATTTTGCTGTAGATTACAAAATGGCCATACTTTATTCAATTTTCCAAAGTTGAGATTTCGCCCGATTTATTAGGAATGAATAATTATAGGGTTTAAGCCCAACAATATGGGTATCCACGATTAGGGTTTGAAGAGTAGATTCTAGAAATGATATAAACCTTTGACTAAAATGAAAAAATATTAACAAAAAATTGTTTTTAAAAAATACACAAAAAATAATTAAATGATAAAAAATTTACAAAATTAATAAGAAAAGAATAAAATATATAAAAGCAATAACATTTACAAATATTAAATAAATAATAAAAAATCGAGGAAAAAAATAACTAAAATTTATAAATATGAAAATAAAAATAATTCTCCAAAACTTTTTCTACGAAAGTCACCGCCACCACCTAACCAGAACAAATAAAAAAATCTCTCCACAAGTGTTAAAAAAATCGATTCCAATTTTTTTTTAATCCCCAAATATTTATTGTTTTCCAGATTTTTTTTGTGAATATTGAAATAAAAAAATAAAAATTATTTTTTTGCACAAAAAACGCTGTTGCAAAATAGCCTTAAGCAATGTGACTTAATTAAAGAGAAAAAATCTATACCAGTGTAAAAAAAAATAATATATACGAAAATATAATATTGTGAAAGGAAAGAAAGTCCAGTGAAGAAAGAAGACCAAAATAAAAAACCAACAACAACTACAACAAAAAAACTAACGTGTTTTAAGCCAATTAAACGAACGGCAACTAAATAATTCAGAAAAGAAAGGTTTATTTTTAAACCCACGAAAGCAAAAGAATAAGAACAACAACAACAAAACGAGAACTAACCCAGTGAAAAACAAAAACAATTACAAGAACAACAACAACAAGTTGAAAAGAACACCCGATGGCAACATTAGCAATTGAACAGCAAAATAACACCCACTTAACAGTAACGTCGACGTCGGCTAAAGGCAACCACGGTAACGCGGCTAACACCAACGCTAACGTCAACGCTCTGTGCAGTAGACCCATTAAAATCCCCCTACCAGCAGGTGCCGGTTCCACTTCCTTTGCCACACAATTATCCACCGGTTCGGCTGATAGTGCCTGTGTGGTAGCAGCCAGGGGCAGTACCAGTAGCAGCAGTACCAACAATGATGATGATATTGGTGGTGGCCACACACCCTGCTCCTCATTCGTTTCTCTAACAGGGGCCAGTGCAGAGGCACGTCGCAAAGATGATATCTTGGCCATTACTCAACGTAGTGCCAGTCTGAGCTTACATGGAGCCGCCCATCCCAAATCCCAATTGCAAAAACTTAAACAGCCTGCCTATCGTCAGCTGTTGTCTCAAGACAGCGGGATTGATAATGATCGCGATTCGGCCGTAGGCTCTCAGCAACAATTGAAATCGGCTCATTGCTCATCATCGAGTAATGAATCGATTGGAGCGAATTCATCGGGAGATCTTTCCCATTCAAAATACTCAGAGGATGCCCTCGAATCGGAATCCTCTAGTGGCTATTCGGGTAGTACCCATAGCTTTGGGGCTTTGAGTTCGGGAAACAATGGCGGCACACGAAGGATTAAATATAAATCCTGTAACAGTTCAACCACCCTAGGGTTGGGTGTTGAGGATCGCATTGATGAGGTAGAGGATTTGCATTTGGATGATGAAGATGATGATGAGGACGTTGAGGAAGATGTGGTGGATGGTGAAAATCCTCATGACGAAGATCCCGATGATAGTGGCCTGCAAATGTGTGTTAGTCCCAATCCAGGCAAGGCCACATGCACCACCAAGACCGAATCAGAAGTTCTTGAAAAAGAAGTCAAAAAATCTTCCGAAAAATCTGCCGAAGATTTAAAAACTCCCAAACTTAAGGGCCAGGTCTTGGCCACAGATGGTAATTATTATTTCCCCCTGCTGAACATCTCCGATGATCCCGTCATCAATCCCAAATTGATAAATAAAAAAGATGGCCTACAGGATTGCATGTATTATCTCGATGAATTCGGCAGCCCGAAGTTACGAGAGAAATATGCTCGAAAACAAAAACTCAAGGAGTTAAAACAACAGCAAAAGGCCAAGAAAAAAGCGGCCAAGGAATTGGCAAATATGGCCGAGACTGGCACAAGTGGTAACTCGAAAACCTGCTCCTCGACAGACAACAACACAACAACCACAACCAAAAAACGCCACTGCACATTTACCACCCAGGAATGTCAGGAAGCCAATGAAACAGAATTACAGCCCCTGCAACCGCATACAGAAACTAACCCACCCGCCACAAACAAATCATCCAAAAACACATTAGAAACTCACTGTGATACTAAAGAGAAGAATAGTCATTTAAGTTATGCTAAGAAGAAGTCTACAACAACCACAACAACTACAACTACTGATAGCTGTAAGAAAAGTCTTTTGAAAAATGAAGTTGGCGACCAAGAGGAGAGTACCGTGGTGGCCTCCGAAGTTAAAGCCGATGATGATCATATTGTCGATGCAGAACACAAATGTAATGATGATGACAACAACAATGGTCCCTGCCCCAATGATCCCTGCAATTTGCGTAAAGCCTCAATGACAGCGTCCTGTGTTAGCTGGACCAAGGTTATGAAGAAATTCAAAAATATGTTGGGAGGTAAATTGAAAAAAAAAAACAATTAAATAATGAAATGTATTTGTAAATATTTTTTAGGAATTTAAAAAAAAAATATTTTTTTTTAATTTTTTTTTTCAAAAATTTATAAAAACAATTTTATTTTCATATATTTTCACCACAGAAATTTTCGAAATATGTCTTATTTAACCTATATTTTGTTTTTAAATACAATTCCACCAATTTTTCTTCAAAAATCCAAAGTTGAGATTTCGCCCGATTTATTAAGAATGAAGAATTATATAGTTAAACCCCATCAATATGGGTATCAATTTTTAGGTTTTGAAGAGTAGATGCTGCTAGAAATATAAACCTATAGGTTTTACTTACCCCTATGCTTATATTTCAAAAAATTATTTTTAAAGGCAGTGATTTTCTCTAAAATGTCGATTTTATTAAGTAAACTTTCATAAAAAATTATGAAATATAATTTATTAATCTTATATTTCATTTCCAAATATAATTCTAACAATTTTTCTTCAAAAATCCAAAGTTGAGATTTCGCCCGATTTATTAAGAATGAAGAACTATATAGTTAAACCCCATCAATATGGGTATCAAAATTTCGGGTTTGAAGAGTAGATGCTGTTTGAAATATAAACCAGAAGTTATCACGCACCCTTGTGTATATATTTCAAAAAATTATTATTAAAGACAATTATTCTCTCTAAAAAGTCGATTTTATTAAGAAAACTTTCATAGACAATTACGAAATATGATTTATTTCACTTATATTTTGTTTCTAAATAAAATTCTACCAATTTTTCTTCAAAAATCCAATGTTGTGATATCGCCCGATTTATTAAGAATGAAGAATTATAGGGTAAAACCCCCACAATATAGGTATTAATGTTTAGGTTTTTGAGAGTAGATGCTAACGAAAATATAAACCCGAAGTTTTCACGCACCGCTGTGCTTATATTTCAATAAAATAATATCAAAGAAGTTATTTCCCTTAAGAAGTCGTTTTTATGTTATAAACTTTCATACAAATTTCCGAAATATGTCTTATTTAACTTATATTTAATTTCTAAATACAATTCTAGCAATTTTTCTTCAAAAATCCAAAGTTGAGATTTCGCCCGATTTATTAAGAATGAAGAATTATATATGCAAACTCCCACAATATGGGTATCAATGTTTAGGTTTTGAAGAGTAGATTCTGTTAGAAATATAAACTCGAAGTTTTCACGCACCCCTGTGCTTATATTTCAAAAAATTATTATTAAAGGCAGTTATTTTCTCTAAAAAGTCGATTTTATTAAGTAAACTTTCTTAAAAAATTATGAAATATGATTTATTTACCTTGATATTTGTTATTAAGTACGATTCTACCAAATTTTCTTCAAAAATCCCAAGTTGAGATTTCGCCCGATTTATTAAGAATGAAGAATTATATACAGTGGTGTGAAATGAAATAGAGTCGCTCGTAACCCAGATAGAAAAATTTAAAAAAATACGATTTTTTTAAACTTTTGTTAACTTTTTTCTTTTGGATATTTTATTTATGTACAAACATAAAATATAACAGTATTCACATGGTAATTAAGAACATAACACAACAATAAAAATAAAAATACTTCATAAACACTAATTTTGGCTGTGCAATAAAATAGAGTCATGTAACTTTTTTTGAAAATTCCTGTACTAATAGAAACAAATTAATTTAATTCTCACTTATTGTTGATTAGTACTTAGTAGCATGACCATTATTTTTTATTACTGCTAAGCATCGTCTTGGCATAGAGTCCACAAGTGCCTGGCAAGTCTTTATTGAAATATTCTCCCACGCAGCTTTGATCAATGTCCACAGCTCATCTTTATTAGAAGGATTCTTTCCTTTATGAGCCATTTTCACTTCTCTCCACAAGTTCTCAATGGGATTTAAGTCTGGCGACTAAGCAGGCCAGCTTTAAACTTCGACTCCATTTTTTTCGAACCAAGCTTTATCCCGCTTAGACGTGTGTTTCGGGTCGTTGTCTTGTTGAAACACCCATCTAAGCGGCATATTCCATTCAGCATAAGGCATCATAGTGTCATTTAAAATTTCTGTGTACAAATTGGCGTCCATAACATTCTCAATTCTATATATAGGCCCAGTACCATAGTAGGAAAAACAGTCCCAAACCATTACATTTCCTCCACCATGTTTAGCGGTTTTAATGGTATATTTAGGATGAAAATCGGTATTAGGAAGTCTTCGGACAACAGGTACGACTCGGTCAGAGTTAAACAAATTTACTTTTATTTCATCTGACCACAAAATATTTCGCCACTTGTTCGCCTGCTTATTCACATGTTTCCTTGCGAACTCCAACCTTTTTCCTATGTTTCGTTTTGAGAGGAACGGAACTTTCCGGGCACTTTTAGCCTTTAAATCGTTTTGAATTAGCATTCTTCTTATTGTAGATGTATCAACATTCAAATCATACTCTTTTTTCAATGCCGAAGATGTAACAAAAGGGTCCTTTTTGACATGGCGCAATATTTTTCTTTTTGTTTGCTCTGAAATTTTTGATTTCATTCCCCTTTTTTTTGGTTTTGGCTTATACTTTACTGCATTTTCGACCATTTTCTTGGAGCATTTAAATATTTTTGCAATTTCGCTGTAGCTTTTACCTTCATTACGTATTTTATTTATTGCCTCCCGGCGCTCGTCAGTGCAATGCTTTCCTCGTCCCATGTTTGGACCTAATTGATTATTTTTACACACGTTACTAAAATATTTATATGAGAGGAAGACAAACTTACCATTTAAAACATATTTTATCACGAATTCACTGTTTTCATTTTAAATTTTTAGTTTTTTCCTCAGTTGACTCTATTTTATTGCACACTATTTTCTATAGGCACCAACATACAATCACTACGCTAGGCCAAAGCGTCGCTTTGCTTATAACAAAAATAACGTGATTTTATTTGTGAGGGATCACATCAATAAAATATGACAGTTGTCAGCCACAAATTTTTTGCATCCTTGATTAAAAACCGTTAGAAGTTTAGAAGAGTGGATGACTCTATTTCATTTCACACCACTGTATGTAAACCCTTGCAATATGGGTATCAATGTTTAGGGTTTTAAGAGTAGATGCTCTTAGAAATATAAACCCGAAGTTTTCAGGCACCCCGGTGCTTATATTTCAAAAAATTATTATTAAAGCAGTTATTTTCTCTAAAAAGTCGATTTTATTAAGTAAAATATCATGAATTATTTCCAAATATGATTTATTTAACTTATATTTCATTTCTAAATATAATTCCAGCAATTTTTCTTCAAAAATCCAAAGTTGAGATTTCGCCCGATTTATTAAGAATGAAGAATTATAGAGTTTAACCCCTACAACATGGGTATCAATGTTTAGGGTTTTGAGAGTATATGCTAACAAAAATATAAACCCGAAGTTTTCAGGCACCTCGGTGATTATATTTCAAAAAATTATTATTAAAGGCAGTTAATTTCTCTAAAAAGTCGATTTTATTATGTAAACTTTCATAGAAAATTACGAAATATGATTCGTTTAACTTATATTTCATTTCTAAATATAATTCTACCAATTTTTCTGTAAAAATCCAAAGTTGAGATTTCAACCGATTTATTATGAATGAAGAATTATAAGGTTAAACCCCTGCAATATGGGTATCAATGTTTAGGATTTGATGTAAGCATACCATAAAAAATATAATCCTGAAGATCTCACTCACCTCTTTCATTATTTCTTGAAAAATTATTCTCAAAGGAAGATATTTTCTTTAAGTACCCGTTTTAATGCAGTATTCTTTCATGGAATGTTTCGAAATTTGTATTATTTAACTTATATTTTATTTTTAAATATAATTTTAACAATTTTTCTTCATTATTCTCAAGTTGAGATTTCAACCGATTTATTATGAATGAAGAATTATATGGTAAAACCCCTGCAATATGGGTATCATAGTTTAGGTTTTTGAGAGGACATTCCAGAAAAAATATAAACCATGTGTTATAACACACCAATTTAAAAAAAACAATATTTTTCTAAATTATTTTTTCTAAATTTATTTTTAATAATTATTTGAAAATTTAACCTTGCCATATCAATGTATTATATATAATATAGTATTAGGTATTTAAAAATTATTACCTTGCCACATTGTTGTCAGCTTAATCAAACATTTTTTTATTATTATGGATTAGCCTTTATTCAAGTATTTACATTTCATATTTTCAATTTCCAAATTTTTAACTAATATGTTATTTTTCTTCTTGTTTATTTTTAGGTAAGTGGCCCGTAATCTTTAATCACAAAAAAATAATCACTTTGATTAACCAAAAAATATTTGTTACCTTGATAAAGAAGGTATTGTTTGATGTTGTTGAAATAACTTCTTGTTCGGCTGTCCTTCGTGTTATAAAGGTAAGGTGTTATATTATGGGAAAATTCTAAAAATCAAGGCAATAAAAATCAAAACTGTTGGGTAATATTTTTTTGTAAAAAAATATATTTTTTGTGAAAGTAAAAAAAACTTGGAATAATTTGAAAAAAAATTTAATATTTTTTTTGCCACAAAATTGTTAAAAAAATATTTTTTGATTTTTTTTTTAATTTTTTTACTTAAAAAAAATATTTTTTTTAATTTTTTTTTATTTAAAAAATTATTTTTTTTTTCTTTTTGGAAAAAAAAATATTTTTTGATTATTTTTTTTTTCGAAAAAAATGCTGATTTATTTTATTTTTTTTTTTTGTTTGAAAAAAAAAATTGTTACCATGTCAGGGTTTTTTTTAATGAAAGTACAATCATAAAGATAATTTTTTTATAGAAGTCATGACATTCTTACTTTCATTTTTATTTATTTAATTATTTTGTTTTTGTTGCATTATTTTTTTATTGCCATTATTTAGACATTAATCTAATCTGGCATCATTGCTGCTTATCATTGTTTACTCTTTTTTGGGTTATAAAAATTAGTATT